AAAAGCAGATTCATGTTTAGCTTTTCAAGGAGATTCAGAATAATTTTGGTAGTTGAGAATTCAAATAAAATATTTAAAAAAGCCAATGTCTAGCCCATATTTAAAATTAAAAAATTTTCAAGGATATCTATTTTAAATTTTACCCAAGTTGATTTCTATCATAAATGTAAATTATGATATTTCTAATACCCTTACATTGCAACATTTTTACCTCTTTTTCTCCTAAATATTAATATTTTTATGAAATATATTAATAAAGCATATTTAGTATCGTATACACCTAACTAATTAGTAATTACCCATCAACCTCGTCATTCTGATTAAATTAAATTAATTTTATAAAAAAAAATTTTTAATATATATATATACAAATATATCAAAATATAAAATTGACGGGGGGGCTCAATGGTTAGAACGTATGCCTTCCGAACGATAAGTTGCGAGTTCGAATCCCGTATTGCCATAAAAAATTTAAAAAAAAAATTTTTTACATTAGCGAGATAAAAATAGCTCTCGATTTATTTAACATTAAGATGATAGGAAAGTTGATAGAAAAAAAAAATTTTAACATTAGGAGATAGGAAAGTGAAATTAACGTTAAGAAGATATCAAAGTTGATAGAAAAAAAATTGACCGGGGACGCGTAGTGTTTTTGAAAAAAAAAGTGTTTTTTGAAAAAATCACTAAGTTATAAAATAGTTTAAAATATAATATTTACATATTCTGTATTCTTTTAATGAGCTAAATATGAATCTGTTTTGATTTTTTAAAAAAAACTGTATTTTGACCGGGGACGCGTAGTTTAGCCAAAAAAAAATTTTTTTTTTAAATTTTTTTTTATTAATACCATTTTCTGAATCTTCTAAAAAGCTAAACATGAATCTGCTTTTATTTTTTTAAAAAAACGGTTTTTTGACCGGGGACGCGTAGTGTTTTTGAAAAAAAAAAGTGTTTTTTGAAAAAATCACTAAGTTATAAAATAGTTTAAAATATAATATTTAATATTCTGTATTCTTTTAATGAGCTAAATATGAATCTGTTTTGATTTTTTAAAAAAAACTGTATTTTGACCGGGGACGCGTAGGGACGCGTAGTTTAGCCAAAAAAAAAAAAATTTTTTTTTAAATTTTTTTTATTAATACCATTTTCTGAATCTCCTTAAAAAGCTAAACATGAATCTGCTTTTATTTTTTAAAAAAAACGGTTTTTTGACCGGGGACGCGTAGTGTTTTTGAAAAAAAAAGTGTTTTTTGAAAAAATCACTAAGTTATAAAATAGTTTAAAATATAATATTTACATATTCTGTATTCTTTTAATGAGCTAAAAAGTGTTTTTTGAAAAAATCACTAAGTTATAAAATAGTTTAAAATATAATATTTACATATTCTGTATTCTTTTAATGAGCTAAATATGAATCCGTTTTATTTTTTTAAAAAAACTGTATTTTGACCGGGGACGCGTAGGGACGCGTAGTTTATTTTTTAAAAAAATAAATTTTTATAAATTTTCAAAATATGTGAATTCCCTTTGTATTCTACATTCACTTGTGCTGTACCTATTACTTGTATCATCTTGCCATTGTAACCTGATAACTTTATGTTGGACTTCATATTTTAATACCTGTTTTCTCAATCATGTATTCTTGTAGAATTAAAACATTTATTAAAAACTTAATTATAATGTAGTTAAAAAAAATTATCATTTGCCTAAAAATTTATTAAAAATATAGTTTTCATAAGGAAAGAAATTAAACTCCTCTTTATTTATAGAAAATCTCAGTTATTGAAGATTCACAAATTGTATTATCTCCTCATACAATCCCCAGTTCCAGTGAGGTGCTTACTTTGCATGATGAGGTATTTAATTTAAATGCGAATTATATTATAACTTTTGAAAGAAATAAATTATGATTATGAGGTTAATTAAATATTTCCAACCTTTATTAAAAACTTAATTATAATGTAGTTAAGAATAAAATGTCCATTTGACTAAAATTTTATTAAAAATATAGTTTTTCATAAGTAAACAAATTATACTCTTTATTTATTGCAAATCTCCAATATTGAAGATTCACAAATTGTATTATCTTCTCATCCAATCCCCAGTTCCAGTGAGGTTACTTTGCATGATAAGGTATTTAATTTAAATATGAATTATATAACTTTTGAAGAAAATAAATTATGATTATGAGGTTATTTAAATATTTCCAACATTTATTAAAAACTTAATTATAAAAGAAAAAAATTGCCATTTGGCTAAAATTTTATTACAAATATAGTTTTCATAAGGAAAGAAATAAAACTCCTCTTTGTTTATAGAACTCAGTTATTGAAGATTCACAAATTGTATTATCTCCTCATCCAATCCCCAGTTCTAGTGAGGTGCTTACTTTGCATGATGAGGTATTTAATTTAAATACGAATTATATGATAACTTTTGAAGAAAATAAATTTGGACATTTAAATATTTCCAACATTTATTGATTAACTTAATTATAATGTAGCTAAGAATAAAATGACCATTTGGCTGAAATTATATTAAAAATAGTTTTTCATAAGTAAACAAATTATACTCTTTATTTATAGCAAATCTCCAATATTGAAGATTCACAAATTGTATTATCTCCTCATCCAATCCCCGATTCTAGTGAGGCATTATATTTAAATAAAATGTATATAATAACTTTTGAAGGGAATAAATTATGAGGATATTCAAAGTCCAAATCTTATTCAGCTATACAAAAAAAAGGAACCAAATGACCCTTTTCACTTTATATTATTTAGGATGACAAATATTTTGATAAATTTCATAATTGCTGTAGGCCCTTGTCAGCCATGTACAAATAAATTTCAATATCCTGTTACTAACAAGAGGTTTTAAATAATATTTATATTCATTAATTTTTACCCATCCATTATTTCTAAACCAATATTTATTTTTTTACTTTTTAAACGGGAGCATGAATATAACCTATTATTAGAAAGGTTAATATAGAGGGTTCCCTCAACCCCAGAAATTGGCTATCTTATAGCACTACTTTAGACAAAGTCTTTTGTCTATATTGTATTATGTTTGGTGGCCCTAAGTCCAATACTTTTTGAACTCAACATGGGGTAAATAATTGGAAAAACATAAAGCGTGAGAGACACGAAGCATCTTCTCTTCATAAAGATTGGGAATATGCAAACATGACTTGGCTTGCAAATAAACGCATTCAAGATCATTTACTATCAAATAAGCTTGATATAATCATGGAAAATCGTAATATAGTTCATAATATTATCGATGCCATTATGTACCTTATAAAATGTAATATAGCCTTTTGGGGTTCTAATTCGAATGAAGGTAATTTTATGTGTCTCATAAAATTAATGGCAAAAACGGTTCCAACTTTACGTGCATACATGGATAACAACGAAAAATTGCGGAGAAAAAAATCAGATAAAATTTCGAGACCTTGTATAAATTTACTGTCATATAACCACGTGAAAAAAATAACTGAAATTATTAAGATAAAAATAACAAAAAGCATTATTCAAACAATTAAAGAGAATCGTGCCTATAGCATCATATTAGATGGAACATATGATGTGTCTAAATGCGTAGCTTTGCTTGTACGGTATATAGAAGAGGATCTGCATCCACATCCTGTAGAAAGGATCATACATGTTTTTACAACATCAGAAACCACTGGGGAAAATATAAAGAAACATGTTTTTTCTAAGTTTAATGATCTTGGTCTTCCTCTTGATTATTTGGTTGGACAAAGTATGGATGGTGCAGGGAATATGAGAGGAGTATACAACGGAATGCAGGCTTTAATATTGAAAGAGGCTCCAAAAGCCATCTATATTTGGTGCCATGCACATCGGCTAAATTTAGTAGTTGCTCATGTTTGTGGATGCAAAATTGAAATGAAAAAGGCAATGGGAATATTAGATGAGTTATATAATTTTATGAATGGAGTTAGACGTCAAGGTGTGTTTGTTAAATATCAAATGAGAAAGTCCAAGAAATCTCTTAAAAGAATTAAAAACACAACAAGGTAAATAAAATATTTTTAATGAAACTTATATATTTTCAGAAATTGGTCATCATCCTACAAATCTGTAGAAATCTTTTTAGATGTTTATGAACATATTTTAGCATCATTAGTTGAATTAAAAGATTCTAATGACCCAAGCACCTCTTCCATTGCCGATGGATTATTATCAAGAATTAAAGATGAAAATTTTATATTAAGTCTATTTATTTTGAAAGAAATATTGAAATGTACACATGAGGCTTGTATTGAAATGCAGGCAGTTGGTAATGATTTGGCTTTGGTAACCAAATTAATACAACATACAAAAAATAAATTACAAAAACTAAAAGGTTAATATTAGTTACTATTTCTATAAATAATTTAAAAATATAGCTAATGGAGACAATATATTTTTAAAATTACATTCCTTATCTAATAGTTTTTTGAAAAAGAATAATGTAATAACTGATTTGTATAATATGAAATCAATATTCAAATTGGATCAAACAGAATTCAATAATTATGTTGAACAAAAAAAAACAAGTTGAATAAATTAAAAAAATTTAAATTATTATTTATTATTATAGATATAGAACGGAAATATTTTTCCCTGTGCTAAATGCAATAATTAATCACCTAAATGATCGATTTAATTATGATTGTTTAAATTTTTTATCACAGATATCCATTTTTACTCCCGCTCAATGATATATATAACTATAGATTGACGATTCATTCATTCAATGCATTATAAAAGTGTCCACACATTGTAATCAGCTGTAGCGCCATTTTGTAGTTTGGTTATCCATTATTTGTCAGCAAGAAATATTAATATATAGAAAACAAGTCTAGTTTTAAAGGTGATTTATGATATAATATTTTATAGTATCTTTTATTCTTAAATTTTCATAAGGCTTTTTTTATGAAGGTGGAGTAGGTGATTATAATTAAAAAATGAATCTAAGACTAACCCACCTTTTAATTTTTTAAAATATAGTTTAACCTAATCCTGCATGGACTTATAAATCTTATGTTAATGCATCTTAGGATACATGCAAAACAGATCTTATAATATCACTATCATTTATTATTTAATTAGATAATGGGAGTGTGCTGTGTTCATAATTGTAATAAAACATATAAAATAGAATCTAATACACATATTTCTTATCATAAGTATATATATTATTTTTTATATGCAACATATTTATTACATAAAGCATTAATAAGCTACAAACATTGAAAAAAAATCCTTATTTAGTAAAAATATAAAGTTTTCTCATTTTTATTGCTAGGACAAATAATGCTTCTTCCTATTGAGTTGATAAGATTTCTATTTTGAACTTTGCCTAAATATTTTTCTGGATAAAATATTAAGTTAGCCATTTTAAAATACATATTTACTATGATACAGTTTCATTTTAAATATTTGTAAGAAATATGTAAACCAATATATATTAATAGAGGCTCTGCCAATCAACAAATTTTCACTGATTCAATACTATATTACTAATAACCGATCTGATATTTATATTGATTTTTATATACTATCTATCTTTGTATCAATGTCATAAATATATCTTATATTTTACTCAACCTATTTTTAAATATAGATTTCCATTAAAATCCAAAGAATTATTGGAAAAATGGTTACAGGCTATAAATAGAAAAAATTTTATGCCTAATAAATATAGTATAATGGGGGGTTAGTGATTCCTTCATCTAGTATGTCTATATTATGCCGAATTTGTGAAAGTTCATTTAGAACTTATCAAAATGATATTAAACGTAAAAATATTATTAAAAAAATGGAAGTGTTGGTTTTTTCCACAATAATTGGTACAAATATTTTTATTGATCTTACTGAACATATTAATGAACATGAGATTGGTTACAGCCATTTTCAAATTCTTGTAAAATTAATTGTTCAAAGGTAATCATTTATTAGTTTTAATACTATTTTTTTTAAAGATATTTAAATATTAGATTTTTCCATTTTGCTGACTTGAGAAACCAGGAATTGATAACTGGTATGAGACAAAATCTTACAAAAGCAATACAATTTAATAATCAATAAGTCATGTAAATTAATATTTATATCTTCTTTTATTTTTTAAAAATTATATTGTATAAAGAACAGGCCTTATATAAGACATATTATAAAAATTATGATATTATATATAATCTATGCTAATGTAAATATATTTTATTTTTTATAGGTGATGATAGAATCAAAAAGGATGAATGTTTATAATCAAAGATAATATGAATGTGAATCATCATATTGTTAAAAATACATTTTGTTTTTTAAAGTGTACACATTTATATTTTTATATATTTATTGTATAAACCTTATTTAAATGATTTATATAATAATTTATACCCATGCAAAAAATGTTATTATTACACTATGTTTTTATTGAAAAAAAAATAAAAGATGTTTTCATTTGTCATTTATAATTAAGATGAAATAATTGGGAATGACTAAAATACGCGTCCCCGAAAACTACGCGTCCCTACGCGTCCCTACGCGTCCCCGGTCAAAACGATTTATTTTTATTAATATTAATGGGAAATCTTATTAAGCTTTATAAGATGAGTTAGAAAATGTTTTTTTTAATTTAAAAAAAATACGGTAACTATATAAAATTTACAAAAATTTATTTTTTAAAAAAATAAACTACGCGTCCCTACGCGTCCCTACGCGTCCCCGGTCAAAATACAGTTTTTTTAAAAAAATCAAAACGGATTCATATTTAGCTCATTAAAAGAATACAGAATATGTAAATATTATATTTTAAACTATTTTATAACTTAGTGATTTTTTCAAAAAACACTTTTTTTTTTCAAAAACACTACGCGTCCCCGGTCAAAAAACCGTTTTTTTTAAAAAATAATAGCAGATTCATGTTTAACTTTTTAAGGAGATTCAGAAAATGGTATTAATAAAAAAAAAATTTTTAAAAAATTTTTTCCAAAAAAATTTTTTTTTGGCTAAACTACGCATCCTTACGCGTCCCCGGCCAAAATACAGTTTTTTTTTAAAAATCAAAACGGATTCATATTTAGCTCATTGAAAGAATACAGAATATGTAAATATTATATTTTAAACTATTTTATAACTTAGTGATTTTTTCAAAAAACACTTTTTTCGAAAACACTACGCGTCCCCGGTCAAAAAACCGTTTTTTTTAAAAAATAAAAGCAGATTCATGTTTAGCTTTTTAAGGAGATTCAGAAAATGGTATTAATAAAAAAAATTTAAAAAAAAAATTTTTTTCGAAAAATTTTTTTTGGCTAAACTACGCGTCCCTACGCGTCCCCGGTCAAAATACAGTTTTTTTAAAAAAATCAAAACGGATTCATATTTAGCTCATTAAAAGAATACAGAATATTTTAATATTATATATTAAACTATTTTATAACTTAGTGATTTTTTCAAAAAACACTTTTTTTTTTCAAAAACACTACGCGTCCCCGGTCAAAAAACCGTTTTTTTAAAAAAATAATAGCAGATTCATGTTTAACTTTTTAAGGAGATTCAGAAAATGGTATTAATAAAAAAAAATTTTAAAAAAAATTTTTTCCAAAAAAATTTTTTTTTGGCTAAACTACGCGTCCCTACGCGTCCCCGGTCAAAATACAGTTTTTTTTTAAAAATCAAAACGGATTCATATTTAGCTCATTGAAAGAATACAGAATATGTAAATATTATATTTTAAACTATTTTATAACTTAGTGATTTTTTCAAAAAACACTTTTTTCGAAAACACTACGCGTCCCCGGTCAAAAAACCGTTTTTTTTAAAAAATAAAAGCAGATTCATGTTTAGCTTTTTAAGGAGATTCAGAAAATGGTATTAATAAAAAAAATTTAAAAAAAAGATTTTTTTCGAAAAAATTTTTTTGGCTAAACTACGCGTCCCTACGCGTCCCCGGTCAAAATACAGTTTTTTTAAAAAAATCAAAACGGATTCATATTTAGCTCATTAAAAGAATACAGAATATCTTAATATTATATATTAAACTATTTTATAACTTAGTGATTTTTTCAAAAAACACTTTTTTTTTCAAAAACACTACGCGTCCCCGGTCAAAAAACCTTTTTTTTAAAAAAATAATAGCAGATTCATGTTTAACTTTTTAAGGAGATTCAGAAAATGGTATTAATAAAAAAAAATTTTAAAAAAAATTTTTTCCAAAAAAATTTTTTTTTGGCTAAACTACGCGTCCCTACGCGTCCCCGGTCAAAATACAGTTTTTTTAAAAAAATCAAAACGGATTCATATTTAGCTCATTAAAAGAATACAGAATATGTTAATATTATATTTTAAACTATTTTATAACTTAGTGATTTTTTCAAAAAACACTTTTTTTTTCAAAAACACTACGCGTCCCCGGTCAAAAAACCGTTTTTTTTAAAAAATAAAAGCAGATTCATGTTTAGATTTTCAAGGAGATTCAGAAAATGGTATTATTAAAAAAAATTTAAAAAAAAAATTTTTCGAAAATTTTTTTTTTGGCTAAACTACGCGTCCCCGGCCAAAATACAGTTTTTTTTTAAAAATCAAAACGGATTCATATTTAGCTCATTGAAAGAATACAGAATATGTAAATATTATATTTTAAACTATTTTATAACTTAGTGATTTTTTCAAAAAACACTTTTTTTTTCAAAAACACTACGCGTCCCCGGTCAAAAAACCGTTTTTTTAAAAAAATAAAAGCAGATTCATGTTTAGCTTTTCAAGAAGATTCAGAATAATTTTGGTAGTTGAGAATTCAAATAAAATATTTAAAAAAGCCAATGTCTAGCCCATATTTAAAATTAAAAAATTTTCAAGGATATCTATTTTAAATTTTACCCAAGTTGATTTCTATCATAAATGTAAATTATGATATTTCTAATACCCTTACATTGCAACATTTTTACCTCTTTTTCTCCTAAATATTAATATTTTTATGAAATATATTAATAAAGCATATTTAGTATCGTATACACCTAACTAATTAGTAATTACCCATCAACCCCGTCATTCTGATTAAATTAAATTAATTTTATAAAAAAAAAAATTTAATATATATATATACAAATATATCAAAATATAAAATTGACGGGGGGGCTCAATGGTTAGAACGTATGCCTTCCGAACGATAAGTTGCTAGTTCGAATCCCGCATTGCCATAAAAAATTTAAAAAAAGAATTTTTAACATTAGCGAGATAATAATAGCTCTCGATTTATTTAACATTAAGATGATAGGAAAGTTGATAGAAAAAAAAAATTTTAACATTAGGAGAGTGAAATTAACGTTAAGAAGATATTATAAAGTTGATAGAAAAAAAATACGAAAAGTTCATTTCTTGATTACATTTATAGATAGTGTGTTAAAAAGCTAAAAAATCAAACAAAGTTGAGGGTTCTAAATCTGATTGATGAATTAGAAAATATTATAATTATTAATTTATTTTTCATTTATATAAGTTTTTTAAAATAACTTTCTAATCTTACATTAATAGTTAAAATTTATCATTTTATGTTTTGTATATGGGAGACTGGGGTTAGGACCCCGGGCTTGGCAAACCACTTAATCTCATTTCAAAATTAAATATCCTAATATAGTTTTTATTAGTTTACATCTATAGACAAAAAATCTTTTGAAATATTTAATTTATTAAAGATTTTATTTAAGAAATAAAATTTTGATGAAATTTTCAAAATTTTTACATGACAAAATTTTAATTTTTATTAAAATATATAATCATTTATATCTAAATTAAATTTTATAGTTAATTTTAAACACTCTTCTATAATTTGGAAAAGTTCAATGTGTATTTATTATATCTAGATAATATTTCAATCATAATTTGTCAATAATAAAATACCATTTATATTACATATTATTATATACAATCGTAATAGGTAAAAAAATGTAAATATTCATTTGTTGTAAAATAATGTGGGTGTTTCAATCACGGTAGTCTTTTTATTTCCGACGTATCACGATTTAGTTTTCCAATTTCAATCATTGACCAAACTATAATATGATGTTGTTTTCATCTTCGATATCTATTTATAGTTTATATAATAATATAATATATTTATTTTTATATGCCTTTTTACCTTCAATAATTATAGTCAAAAATTTCAAATTATAGGACTTTAATAATTGGTAATATTTAAACTTAAAAATAACTATTTATATTGTTATTACAAAAAAATAATTGGATGCATTGTTCTAACTGTACAAACTTTCTCTAATATTAGCTAAACAATATTACATTATTTATACTATATTAATATATTTTATAGTTATAATATTATGGTTTTAGCCATAAAAATATGAAAATTATTAATTTTAATATTTTTACGTTTCCGCTCTTAGCCACGTGGAGGCAACCAGTTGAAAGAGCTTTTAGGTCTTAGTTTAAAAAAAATACCAAGACCATGGATATATAACAGGTTTAAAATTTTAAACCTGAAATATAACCAAAATATAATATATTAAAAAGTATACATTAATTTTAAAAAAAAATATTAAACAAAAAATTTATTTGTCATAATCTACTTTTAGGTCTTAGTTTAAAAAAAATACCAAGACCATGGATATATAACAGGTTTAAAATTTTAAACCTGAAATATAACCAAAATATAATATATTAAAAAGTTTACATTAATTTTAAAAAAAAATATTAAACAAAAAATTTATTTGTCATAATCTACTTTTAGGTCTTAGTTTAAAAAAATACCAAGACCATGGATATATAACAGGTTTAAAATTTTAAACCTGAAATATAACCAAAATATAATATATTAAAAAATTTACATACATTTAAAAAAAATTAATTAAAGAAAAAAACTATTCTACTCTTAACAAGGCAACTTCTTCATTATGGTCATTAGATTCTACAGTTAGATTGTTAACCTGTGACACCAAGTCAACCTGTTGACTTGACATCGGGGATTGGTATTTTTTTTAAACTAAGACCTAAAAGCTCTTTCAACTGGTTGCCTCCACGTGGCTAAGAGCGGAAACGTAAAAATATTAAAATTAATAATTTTCATATTTTTATGGCTAAAACCATAATATTATAACTATAAAATATATTAATATAGTATAAATAATGTAATATTGTTTAGCTAATATTAGAGAAAGTTTGTACAGTTAGAACAATGCATCCAATTATTTTTTTGTAATAACAATATAAATAGTTATTTTTAAGTTTAAATATTACCAATTATTAAAGTCCTATAATTTGAAATTTTTGACTATAATTATTGAAGGTAAAAAGGCATATAAAAATAAATATATTATATTATTATATAAACTATAAATAGATATCGAAGATGAAAACAACATCATATTATAGTTTGGTCAATGATTGAAATTGGAAAACTAAATCG